AAAAAAAAAAAAAAAGAGAAAGTGTGAATGTTTCTTTTTAAGGTATACATCTTTGTTCTCTATCAAAACATGGTCTGGATGATTTAGAGGATTTATTTATTTATTTTTCTTTACAGATGAACACAGGCTTCACAGTGGCAAACTCTGTCTGATTATCCTTACATGTATTGCAGAGGTAGGTCTCATCAACCTTCTGGTATTAGTCTCTTATAAAGTGCTATCTTTTCCTGCCTTGCCCCCCTCCCCACCCTTGCTTCCTGTTTTGTGACTTTTAGGGTCCTAAGTCTTGGGAGAGAAAGTGTTCCTCCTTTGTGTTTTCTGTCTTCTCCTTACATTCCAGCAGTGTTTCTTAACCTGTGGGTCACGACCCATAGGAACTGTATTAAAGGGCCACACATTAGGAAGGCTGAGAACCACACTGCATTAGAGTGTAACTCTGACAACAAGGACTTTTTCTCCTTTACTGCTGTATTCTCAGTGTCTAGCACATAGTAGAAGTTCAGTTAGTATTTGCTAGATGAGTTAATAAATTGTGCTATGATAACCTCTATAAGTGAGGACTGGAAGATTCTGGCTTTTAAGAGTTGTAAATAAGAGACTCTTTAGAAAAAATAATCCTGCTCCTTTGAAGCTACTCATGTTGGTTCTTTTGCATTTAGCAAAATAAAAAAAGAGCATGCCTATAGTTCTAGCTACTCAGGAGGTTGAGGCAGGAGGATCTCTTGAGCCCAGGAGTTTGAGGCTGTAGTGCATGTGATTATATCTTTGAATAGCCCCTGCACTCTAGCTGCGGCAACATAGTAAAACTTAGTCTTTAAATTAGAAATAAATAAATAAATAAATAAATAAAATGCTTCCTATGAGTGAAGGGTGGAGAGAATAAAGCCTGAGTGAGGAATTGGAAATTTAGTCAAGTTGGTTGGATTGTAGTTTGGTGAAGAAGAGCCCGGGGAGAAAAAAGGAAATGCCTCAGTTTTGTAAGAAGGCATTTTTGGTTGGACTAATTAGGCTTGCATGCATCTTGGTGACACACAAGTATAAGAAAACTTGAATCAGTTTAGAACTAAGTTTTTTTTTTTTTTTTTGTGGCTGGGGCTGGGTTTGAACCTGCTACCTCTGGCATATGGGGCTGGTGCCCTGCCCTTTGGAGCCACAGGCGCCACCCTAGAACTAAGTTTTTAGCTTTACCCCGGCCTCCTTACTCTGTTCTTTTCTCTTTTAAGAAGAAGAGTAGGCTCGGTGCCTGTGGCTCAAGCGGCTAAGGCGCCAGCCACATACACCTAAGGTGGCGGGTTCGAATCCCCAGCCCAGGCCCGCCAAATAATAATGATGGCTGCAACCAAAAAATAAAAAAAATGGCCAGGCGTTGTGGTGGGTGCCTGTGGTCCCAGTTATTTGGGAGGCTGAGGCAGGAGACTCCTTGAGCCCAGGAGTTGGAGGTTGCTGTGAGCTGTGATGCCATGGCACTCTACCCAGGGGGATAGCTTGAGGCTCTGTCTCAAAAAAAAAAAAAAAAAAAAAAAGAAGAGTAAAGATGGTCCACATGGAGTAAAGAACTTTCAAAGACTTTCTTTTTTCATAGGCTTTGTGGAAAGATGACCTCCTTTTTACAAGGTTAGGGATGGTTGGTTATAGAAGAGTTGCTTATTAGCAGTGGGCTGGGTGTAATTATTTTTTAAAAATCTTTCTAAGAAAATCTTTAAAGGAGTTGTTTTTCATAAATTGTAACAGTTCCTAGTAATTAGAGCCTGTAGGCTTGTCAGGATCTTCAGAAAAGGTGTTGGGAAAGAGCCAAGCGATATTTGTTACCAATTTATGGTGAGAAGTTTTTGATTTTTTATCGGTCTTCAGCAAAGCCAGGGATACACAGGGTCTTGCCTGCTTCATACTGTTTGTGTAGCAGTTTTCTTTCTCTGTTGAGCCCATTCCTTGCATGCAGAGCATAGACCTCTCTTTTTACTCGTAAAGTGGGTGGAGCCTGCACATGCATCCTACAGCCTCTATGTAAACCTTTAAGCTTTCACAAAAAGAGCCAGCTCCCTGAGCAGATGGGAAGGAAGAGGGAATAGGAAAACATTCCTCTTAGCATTTTCCTCAAGTCCTTGTGTCTTAATGTTTTTTAAATTTTAAAATTTTTAATTAATATGGGTATATAATGGTTGTGTCCTCTGCTTTAATTTTATTGTTTTTAATTCACTTAGAGATTTTTGACCAGTTAAGGACATACTTGGAAATTATACCCAAGTAAAATCTGGTGATTTAAATAAGGTTTGACATAAAATCTCTAGGTTCATCCTATTAACTTTGCAACTGATTCTTGAAAGTAGGACTTAAAGCTCAAGGATTGATATGAAGTGTGATAGATTACAAACTGAGTTTCTTAAATGTACTCTTATTCCTTGCCTTTTCGGTATATTTTTATTAGGATCAGTATGCCAATGCATTTTTGCATGATGACAACATGAATTTTCGAGTAAACTTACATAGAATGGTAGGTGTTTCTTTTGCTTCTTATTTTTTCTTAGAGGAAATTTTTTGTGTTGGTAGGGTTGGGATGTAAGTGATTCTTCTAGAACAAATGTGGGTGGAGAGTTGTGCCAAAAGGCTCTTGCAGCCTTTGGCTGCTGTTCAATAGACCCGTGCCTATTATTGGTATTTTTTGTGTGTGTTGAGGAGCTATTTCTTACTTATGAGGGGACAAAAAGATCTACAACCATATGTCCATGACAGTGATATTGGAATGTATCAATAACATAAATTTCAACAAAGAGATGGGTATAAACGTTTTGTATTCAGAATGTAGTATGATCTTTGACTCATTCATCTGAGAGGTGAAACAAATAGAACATGGAAGATTAGGAATTTCCTAAAGCTTGGAGGTATGTTAAAAAATATCACATTGAGGTTTAGATTTAAACTTTTATTTCTTTGCAACTGCTCTTGCTATTTCTGTACCTGCCACCATCACCATTTCTTTTTATTATTATTATATTGTCCAAGAAATATACCAGTATACCTCTTTTGTTATTAGTAATGCCACTAGTATAGATAAAATCAAAGTAAAAACAACAACTTTCCCATCATAGTATGGTCTAGTTCCCTTTGAGGCTTTTATCTGGCTGTGAATTGTATTTTTGTCACAGGCCTGTGTTGATACCTGAGAAGCATTCACAAGTCCTGCTCTACCCTCCCCCATCCTTAGAAAGAAAGGGTCGCATCTCTGTAATAGTGACCTTTTATATGTATGAGAAACATGATGATAAACCATTCGATGTCAGTTCAGATACCTACTAATCTCCTTTCCCTTTTTTTGTGTGTGAAGCCTATGAGACATAGGAAGAAGGCTGCAGACAAGAACCTTCCCTGTCGTCCATTAGTATGTGCAGTACTGGGTGAGTATTATCAAAATTTTTCTGTGACAATGATAGATTTTTTTTTTTTTTGAGACAGAGCCTCAAGCTGTCCCCCTGGGTAGAGTGCCGTGGCATTACAGCTCACAGCAACCTCCAACTCCTGGGCTCAAGCGAGTCTCCTGCCTCCGCCTCCCAAGTAGCTGGGACCACAGGCGCCCGCCACAATGCCCGGCTATTTTTTTGGTTGCAGCCGTCATTGTTGTTTTGGCGGGTCCGGGCTGGGGATTCGAACCCGCCACCTTAGGTGTACGTGGCTGGCGCCTTAGCTGGCTGAGCTATAGGCGCCGAGCTGACAATGATAGATTTTAATGATTAAGATGAGGAGTAGATCCTGGTTGATCTACTCCTTACTCAGAGAAGTTGTAACCAGTTATGTTTCTTTCCTGGCCTAAGAAACCATGTGTTTGGTAAAGTAACTCAAATGAATAGAGTACTCAATAAAAGGGTGAATGGAAAGGTGAATTTTTTTTTTAAAGGAAGAAAGTCATTCCAGGGAAACAAATGGCTATGTCTAAACTTGATATATGATATAAATTTGTAAAATAATCTTATTCTCAATCAAGATTTTAAATTCTTCCCTGCCCTTCTTGGTCCAAATTGATGCATTAGCTGGCCAGAAGGCTTAGAGTTCAAGATTCAGGGATATAAAACTTCCTCTGGATAAATTAAACTGGATCACAGCTAACAGAGCTGACAGAAGCGGGGTGGTGCCTGTGGCTCATTGAGTAGGGTGCCGGCCCCATATACCGAGGGTGGTGGTTTCAAACCCAGCCCGGCCAAACTGCAACAACAACAACAAAAATAGCCGGGCGTTGTGGCGGGCGCCTGTAGTCCCAGCTACTCGGGAGGCTGAGGCAAGAGAGTGGCTTAAGCCAGGAGTTGGAGGTTGCTGTGAGCTGTGTGACGCCACGGCACTCTACCAAGGGCGATAAAGTAAGACTCTGTCTCTACAAAAAAAAAAAGGGCAGAGCTGACAGAGGGCTGTATTTTGGGTAATTTTTGTCTACAGAGAATTTTGCAGTTTCCTTAGGGGATTTAGCTGAACTCTTAATACCACTTAGATATTCAGACTCAGTTCCTAAATCTACTTGAATTTTGAAATAGACTATGTAATAAGCCTGTATTGACCCAAAGCCCCACACACCATTTCTTTCAATATCTGTCAAACCGAGCATGATAGTGAGGTGAGATGGACTGCCACAACTTTAGAGTTGACTCTCTGGTTACACAAATGTGATCATTAATTTTGACTCTGCTTGTCTCATTGTTCTAGTCTGAGGATATGATTTCCCTCTGGCATTTATTATTAGTGCTGTGTTATGAAATATCTACACAATTAAATTTTCCTTGTATCTGAATTTATTGGCAGGCCAAGGTATCTTTCTGGAAGTAGGAGACTGAACTAATTTTCTTGTTACTTTACGAGTGACAGATGGTGAACAGTGTTAGAAAAAGTGCTTAGTATAAAATAAATTAAAGTGCAAGTGAATACAGATGTGGTTAGTAGATGACATTTAGCATGAGTGCAGGACGTACTCAGAAGCTTTTTTTCTGACTCAGAAAGGCAAGGAATAAATTTCATTGTAATTGATTGAATTTTTCTCCTTTCACGTTTCAGACCTGATGGTTGAGTTTATTGTAACACACATGATGAAGGAGTTTCCTATGGATCTCTATGTGTAAGTACTCTGGTTCATTTAATGTGTGCAAATCTATTTTAAAGAATTGAGTGGTAGAAAATTTATGATCTATATGTACTTCAAGGAAAATATATTTATGTGTAGAGAAGTGGCAGGAAACATTTTATGGTCTGGATTTGTGCATCTTTTCAGAAGGGGGGAAAAGTACAAACCATAATTTGGATTCTGCATGTATCTTCATTATCACTTTTAGACACACTGCATGAAGAGCAGGGCTGATGCAATAAAGCAGTGATCAGAGGGGGCTGTTGTAATTCAAAGATATGTGATTCTAGGAGACTATTTTGTTGTCTCTGGGCTGTAGTAGTTAGAAGATAGAAAGAGGTCAGGGAGATAGAGCTGCTGGTCCATTCTTAGCCTACATTGCCCTGACAACCTAGCTAGGAAGATACGTCTCCAGTGGCTTGGCTGAGAGATTCTTTTTTTTGTTTTTTCAAGATCAGAATCTCACTTTTGTTGCCCTTGGTAGAGCGCCATGGTGTCATAGCTCACAGCAACCTCAGACTCTTGGGCTTAAGGGATTCTCTTGTCTCAGCCTCCTGAGTAACTGGGACTATAGGCACCCACCACAGTGCCTGGCTATTTTTTTTTTAGAGACAAGGGTCTCACTCTGGCTCAGGTTGGTCTCAAACTAATGGGCTCAGGCAATCCACTTGCCTCAGCCTCCCAGAGTGCTAAGATTACAGGCATGAGACACCACACCTGGCCCTAGAGATTCTTCTCTTGAGGAGATCTGATTGCCATCATAGTCACATAATGAGGACAATTAGAGGCAATGAAAAATCATATTTTAGGCTCAGCGCCTATAGCTCAACCGGCTAAGGCGCCAGCCACGTACACCTAAGGTGGCGGGTTCGAATCCCCAGCCCGGACCCGCCAAACAACAATGACGGCTGCAACCAAAAAATAGCCGGGCGTTGTGGCGGGCGCCTGTGGTCCCAGCTACTTGGGAGGCGGAGGCAGGAGACTCGCTTGAGCCCAGGAGTTGGAGGTTGCTGTGAGCTGTAATGCCACGGCACTCTGCCCAGGGGGACGGCTTGAGGCTCTGTCTCAAAAAAAAAAAAAAAAGAAAAATCATATTTTAATAAAGTTTAAGCCTTAAAGTTTTCTTTCTTCTTTGCCACTTCTGCATTCTTCTTCTAATACCAAAGAATAGCTGTGCCACATTAATGTGATCCCATATATATATGTGTGTATATATATATATATCACCTTTATTCCTTAAAAAGCATCTGAATTGAATTTGACAGCAGAATTGGTACCTCTATCTTTTGCAAGAGATTGATACGGTGCGCAGCAAACTCATTCTAGTTCCTCTGCCTGAGAATGTACCTCATTCTAGTGCTCCCGCCTGAGATCTAGGGAGGTATAAAGGTTTTTACTTTAAGTAGAGGAGACCTCCAGCTTTTTAGGTTTATTGTAGACTGTATAGTCTTGGTTTTCTAGGTTTGAAGTGATGATAAAAATTTTACTTTTAGGTCAGTAGGTTACAGTTTATATTTTTCCATACCTTTTGGTGTTTAGAAATAAATCTGATCCTTCAATTCAAAGATTATGAGAAGCTGCTCTTTATCATTTTTCTTATATTTAACAGATGAATTGTCTGCTTTTTAAAATTTATTTATTCATTTATTTGAGGCAGAGTCTCTCTCTGTTTTAGAGTGCAGTGGCCACATCATGGCTCACTGCAACCTCAAACCCTTGGGCTCAAAGACTTCTTCTACCTTGGCCTATCAGAGTGCTAATATTACAGGCATAAGCCACTGCACCTGGCCTTAATGCTTATTTTAGATAGCATCTGTGAACCTAAGTATCTCAGTGTTCAGATTTGGTTTGTTACTTGTGAGGCTGAGGAAGAGAATCGCCTAAGCCCAAGAGCTGGAGGTTGCTGTGAGCTGTGATGCCACAGCACTCTACCAAGGGCAACAAAGTAAGACTCTGTCTCTTGAAAAAAAAAAAAAGATTTGGTTTGTTTAGTCTTTCTAGTTTGATTTACTTATGTTCTAGTTTTAGGATGTGTTATATCTGCAGTATATCTTATTGTAGTCCCAGTTATCTCATAAGTAAAGAAATTAAGGCTCAGGAGAGTATATGCTTTGCCAAAGGTTATTCTTCAGTAGACACCATTATCTGGAGTTGAACCTAGATTTTCTTACTATAAATCCTGGGGTGTTACCATCCCTTCCCAGTTGCATTAGTTGTCTATTGCTATGTAACAAACGACTTTATTTTTATTTTATTTATTTATTTATTTATTTTTTTAGAGACAGATTCTCACTTTATTCCCTTGGTAGAGTACTGTGTCGTCACAGCTCACAGCAACCTCTAACTCCTGGGTTTAGGCAATTCTCTTGCCTCAGCCTTCTGAGTAGCTGAGACTACAGGCGCCCATCACAATGCTCCGCTATTTTTTTGTTGCTGTTTGGCCAGGGCTGGGTTTGAACCCCCACCCTCCGTATATGGGGCCAGAGCCCTACTCACTGAGCCACAGGCACCGCCCTATTTTTATTTTTTTAGAGACAGAGGGCGCATTTTATTGCCCTTGGTAGAGTGCTGTGGTGTCACAGCTCACAGCAACCTCCATATCCTGGGCTTAGGTGATTCTTTTGTCTCAACCTCCTGAGTAGCTGGGACTACAGGCGCCTGCCAGAATGCCCGGCTATTTTTTTGTTGCAGTTTAGCCAGGGCCAGGTTCAAACCCACCACCCTTGGTATATGGGGCCAGCACCTTACCCACTGAGCCACAGGTGCCACCCAGTAACAAACTACTTTAAAACCTAGAGGTTTAAAGCAAATGTTTATCATCTCATAGTTTCTGTGGTTCAGGAATCCAGAAGAAGCTTAGCTGAACAGTTTTGGCATAGGGAATTTCACAAGGCTATAAAATGTTAGTGGGGGCTATAGGCTTCTGAGGTTCTACTGGGGCTGGGGGATTTGCTTTTAAGCTCACTTAATGGTTGTTGGCAAGCCTCAGTTCTTCACCATGTGGGCCTCTCTATTAAGTTGCTCAGCATGAGAACTGTCTTCCCCCAGAGCAAGTAATCCAAGAGAGAAAGAGAATAAGAGCCCAAGATGGAAGCCACAGTCTCTTCTATAACCTAATCGTAAGGGAACATATTATTTCTATTGATCCCACAGACCACCTCTGATACAGTATATAAAGGGACTTTATAAAGATATGACTATGAGAAGGGGGGGATTGTTGGGGGCCTTCTTGCAGGCTGGTATTCACAACTAGAAAGACCGGTTCACAGCTAGTAAGTTGCATAACCAAGATTCAGACTCAATGTCTGTTTGAACCCAAAGGCTGCATTCTTAACACTTCTATAAATGACAAAGGAGGGCGGTGCCTGTGTCTCAGTGGGTAGGGCACCAGCCCTATATACTGAGGGTGGCAGGTATGAACCCGGCCTTGGCCAAACTACAACAAAAAATAGCCAGGTGTTCTGGCAGATGCCTGTAGTCCCAGCTACTTGGAAGGCTGAGGCAGGAGAATTGCCTAAGCCCAGGAGTTGGAGGTTGCAGTGAACTGTGACACCATGGCACTCTAATGAGGGTGATATAGTGAGACTCTGTCTCTAAAAAAAAAATGACAAAGGAAAGATTTGCATAAATGGGTATGCTGACTGGGGAATCAGGTAAGTTTACATTTGACCTCAGACATGAAGAAACACTAGGAATTTTCTATGAGAAGGAGTGGAAAAGGGACCAGCATGGACCAAGCCTCCAAGGGGCTTGGACACTTGAAAGCGTGCTGTGTTTGGACAATGGAAAGTGATTCTGGATAGTTAGAGTATAAGGTGCATGGAGGAAGAGTAAGAGTAGGAAAAAAGCTTGCCTGAGATTTAAGTGGATGATAGGGAGCAGTTGAAGGTAGGTAGGGATGATATGCTAAGATTGTGTGTTCAGTACTGTAAAGTCAGGTATATATCTGTTCACCCAAACCCTCACATTCCTAGCCAGTGAACCTGGTTAATGCTAATGTTCTATTTTCTACCTCCCCCTCATTCCTAACTTCACCCTCGGAAGAATTTTTGTATTGCATTGCTTTCTTAGGTGCTTTTTCCACCTGCTCCCTAATTGACTGTTTTGAGGTTAGGAAAGATGGAGAAGATAATGCGGCATCAAGTTGACAGAGGCTGGGCTCACCCTCAGGGTAAATTCACTTTCTTCATTGCTACCCATAAGCATGTTTTCATATCTTCCTTTCCCTATTTCCAGCTCCCTTTTCAGTTTTTAGTATTTGGAGCATCAAGTCCTTTTCAGGTGAACTTATCTGCTCCCAGCCGGGCAACTGGCCAGGTTGCTGCTCTCACTTTTCATTACATACTGCTTTTCAGTAGTGCACAGCAGAATGAGAAATTGAAAGCAAAATGAATTTCTAGCATTTCAGAGAAGTTTATAATCCTCCTAGTGAAATAGAAGAAATATGGAGTATGGAAAGACTTAAATTCAAAGCCAGAGTGTAGGTGAAGAATGAAACAATTTCACATCTGTTATGAATGCTATAGGTAAAGTAATGATGGGGGAGGTACTTATACCAAAAAAAGAAGTGGGGTGTTGTGGCTTATGTTAGTAATCCTAGCACTCTGGGAGGCCAAGGTAGGAGGATTGCTTGAGCCTAGGAAGGTGAGGTTGTGGTGAGCTGTGATCATGCCACTATACTCTAGCCAGGGCAATATGGAGTGAAGACTCTCTCCAAAAACCAAACAAATAAAAACAAAACAAAAAAAAAGAGAAAGAAAGAAAAGTCTTCCCTGGAGCAATAGAGGTAGGACAGTATAACCAATAAATTCCTACTCCCCAGCTGTACTCCTTGATCCTTTTTTTTTTGAGATAGAGTCTCACTTTGTTGCCCTTGGTAGAGTCCTGTGGTGTCACAACTCACAGCAACCTCAAACTCTTGAGCTTAAGTGATCCTCTTGCCTCAGCCTCCCAAGTAGCTGGAACTATAGGCACCCGCCACAACTTCTGGCTAT